ACAGTGACAGCTGGGAAGGGCAGGGGATGATAGGTTGGGAATAGGCACCCATTGAGGAATGGTTAGAAAGAAGTCCACTGATGGAGGGGGTTGATCTGAGTGGTTAGGGCACTCCCTTGATGTCCATCCTTGTGGCAGGTGGTGCCAGGTGAGGCCTAGGGGGCCCAACTCACAGCAGGAGGAGCAGAAAAAGTTATGGCCCAGGGGTTCTAGGGTGGCTGGAAATAGCTTCCACAGGACTGGGGAGGACTTTGGGATGAGGACCAAATGAGGCTGATTCAGGGCAGAGCAAGGAGGCACAGTGCTTGGCACATGGTAGACACTTAATGTATGTTGACTGACTGATTGACTGGTGGGGTCTCGACAGAAGAAGGCAGTCTGAAGGAGGGGTGGCTTTAGCACGGAAGATAGGTTTCCATTCTGGAAACGTTGAGTTCTCCCAGATGGGTTTCTCCTTCTCCCCACTTCAGCTTCCTGGATTTCCACTCACGGTTATACCTTCTTCACATAAGTTGATGCCCCACCCTTCCTCCTCCCTGTCCTTCTCCCTTGGAACAAGGTCCATCCTTCCCGGGGCCATTTTCTTGTCATGATCCTCTTCCCACCAAGGCTTAGGGAGTGAATGAAAAACAATGTATTAAATGTGAGAGTCAGCCCCAAGCCAAGTGTGAAGTGTGAGGGGTACAAACACCTGTGCACCCACAAGGGCAAAGGTTCCTCTTGGAAAGAGGGTCACTAGCTAATCCTGCTGGTCATATTCCTTGTGCATAAGCGCAGAGACCATGGGATTTACCACTGACTCTTCTTGAGCTCCGTGTCCACCACCATCTGTCCTTGGTCCGAGCTACTCTTCCTGTGTCTGGTTTGCAGGTATCCACACATGCTTTCTCCCTTGCCCTTCCTGTGTAACTTAAAGATGACTTTAGCTTTACAAAACTAAAGGCAAACATATTTTTACTAGCCCTGCATCTGGCCAAGCGCTCACAATTCCCTTATCTCAAACTGTGGTCCAGAAATCCAATCCCATTCTCAAACACCATTGTCTTAAGCAACTGTTTGCTTTCCCAGTCTGCCTTTCTTCTCAAAAACCCTGAATGGGCAGTATGGAGCTGAGGAATGCCAGACTCATGCCCAGGGGGTCACTGGTTTCTTGTGCTAGCCTGGTATACATTTCCTTCTGGATTCCTCCGACAGAATCATTTGTACCTAAGCGTAGTACTAGAAGAAGAGGAGGGGAGGCATAATAGTCATCCAGTTATAGATGAATCTTTGATATTATACATGAACACACATTTATGTCTGTATGTGTCTGTACATGCATGTGTATCTCTGTATATACCAATATATGTATGTATGGCTACATGTGTGTGTTTATGCATGTGTGTGTATATATTATAGTTGGTTTCCTTTTAAAAATCATCTAAACATGTGACAACTATATATGCATATGTGTCTGTATCTATGAGTATGTTTAAGCTGGACTTTATGGGAGATGGTAGGAAATGTATCTCATGGTCTTTACCCCTAACAGCTTGCCGTCTAGCTGGAAGACCAGATGGTCACATCACAAAGTCAAACAAGGGCATGATGCGGTGGGCAGGATCATGAGGCCTAGTGTGCCAGGCATCAGATGTACCAAGGGAGGAGTGGCCAGGGAAGGGTCTGAGGCTGGTCTAGATCTCGGAGGGAGAGGTATTCCAGCTGTTTCTCCATCTCCAAAACCATTTGGGCTCCAAGTTCCATCATGCAAAGGGTGGTGACTATGGCTTAGAAGAGGAATTCAAAGGCAGGAAGAGAGCCAACCCTAGTAAATCTCCCTTCCCTCATATTGGCTCAGGCAAGGCGCATCTCGGTTCTTCCTGTCAGGTGAGAACCTTGGGGAAACCCCACCAGGGGATGGTTTGGGATGGGAGCTCTGTTTCCTCAGGGTCTAGAGGAAGGTCCTGCAGAATGCAGGGCCTTGATGATGTCATATAATGAGAAGAGTGGTCACAACAGGAAAATCTCTGCACCTCATTTTCCCCGTAAGTACAAGGGGGAAATTCAAAATGCTTGTCATTCTTACATTCATGTTCCATAAATGTCAGCAATGGTCATGACTGCATGTCAGCACCTGCCTCTCATGGTGGTTGTGAGGATATAAGGAAATAGCACTTTGCTAACCTTAAAAGGCTGTACAGATACTTGTGATTATCAGAGCTCCTTTTTCTCAGTCATCTTCCTCCCCACCCAGCTTTGCAAAGCAACATCCTGCCTCCAAAGGCCTTGAGGACACAAGATTCAGGGCTAGGAGAGATCTTTGAGGGGGAAGAGGAAAGTATGTATTAAGCACCTACTATGTGCCAGGCACTGTGCTAAGTGCTTTACAACCCTGGCAGGTAGGTGCTACTATTATCTCCATTTTACAGATGAGCAAAGTGAAGTAGACAGAAGCCAAGTGCCTTGCCTAGGGTCACACAGCTTGTATGTGTCTGAGGCTGGATTTGAACATAGATCTTCCTGACTCCAAGCCTAGCACTCTACCCACTGCACCACCTAGCCATGAGATCACCTGCTACCTTTGAGATTCTCTAGTCCAACCCTCTTGTTTCACAGAGGAGGATACTGAGGCCCAAAAGGGGAGGGGGCATGCTGAGGTTCCATCATAAGCAGATGGGCTTCACCTCCAGGTGCTCGAGTTCTAATCCGGCCCTGCTGCCCCCTCCAAGGCACCCCTCTGTTTCCTCAGTGGACCCATCCCTGAAAGGGGGGCAGGATTCGTCCAGGAGGAGAATGGTGGACAGACATCTTCTCTTCACTTCTGGATGATTCCTTTTGAGTGATCTGTGATTTTTATCCAGGCGGGTATACTTCGAACTCTCAGAGGTCATGTGACCATGGCCCCTGTGTCTCTAAAGTGCGTGCACTGGTCCCTCATTCACTAATTGGCCTTCACATCCCTGATGTGCTCCCAAATTGTTCTCCTGGTGAGGAGAGCAGCCATCTCCAGACTAAAAGGAGTTCTAGCAGGAAAGGATGAGCCCTGTGCCTCTCTATCCTCTGGACAGTGTTGAGAACACCACCAGCCCTTCTCCATCCTCTATTCCTCTCCCATCCTCCATCCCCTGTCCTCCACCCTCCATCCTCCCAGTGGTGCTGGGAATACCACTGGTCATTCTCCATCTTCCACTGCCCCTCCCTCTTCTCCTATCCACCATCCGCCATCCACCATCTTCCATCCTCCATCCTCCCAACAGTGCAGGGAACACCACCAGCCCTCCTCAGCACCATGCCAGCACCACACTACATTGATTCTCCTCAGAGCTCCATGCCCCACCCTCCTGACTCACTCCAGGGAAGCCTCATCAGACTAGAAGCTGCAGAGAAAGGTGCTGGCTCGGCGTAGGTGGACAGAAGACGTTTCCTCTCCTTCTCCCTCATCAGAAAGCCCAGGATGCTGATCCTGTGGCTTGCGATCCCCACCCCTAACGTGTGCAGATGACGCTTTCTCATCCATGTCTCCCAGGCTTCTGCTACAAAGCATGGACAGGCTTCTCCAGGTGAGGACCCATGGGAAGAGCCAGGCTTTGGATGCAGGCCCCACCGCTTTTGAGTTGTGTGACCTTGGATAAGTCATTACTCGTCTCCAGCCTTCATTTCCTTCTCTGTAAGATAATGGAGTCAGACCACGGGGTCTCCTTCCAGGCCCCGCCAGCTCCAAAATCCTGCAGCAGCTTTGCTGGACGGAGTGCTAGGACCAAGCGTTGGAAGTCAAGAGCGATCCTCTCTGCTGAGAAGGAAAGACAGCAGGTCTATATCCTCCCAGGCTCTGGCACTGGACCCAGGTTTGGGCAGCTGTCCAAAGCTGCGAGGTCAGAGCTATTGTGCAGAAGGAATGAGCCTTCCCTGCTCTGCAGGCAGTGACTCAGCTGCAGTACTGGCCTTCAGCAGAAGCCTGGAGGCAGGGACAGAAGGGCTATGTTGAGTCTCCAGACCATTCCCCTCCAGGCCCAACCACGGCCTTCCTTTTGAGAACATACCGAGAGACTGGCTGGAGTGAAGAATACACCAGGTCTAATTTGGGGATAGAATGTTTGGACCCAAGTGGTTCTGAAACTGGTTGTATTGAAATGATCCATTCTTCTGATCCAACCATTCTGGAGAGCAATTTGGAACTCTGCCCAAAGGGCTATAAAACTATGCATACCCTTTGGTCCATCAATACTGCTGCTAGGTTTATATCCCAAAGAGATCATCAAAAAAGAGAAATGGGCCTATTTGTATAGAAATATTTCTAGTAGCTCTTTTTGTGATGACTGAGAATTGGAAATGGAGAGGACATCCATCCATTGGGGAATGGTCGAACAAGCTGTGGTATATGAATGTAATTGAATATTAATGTGCTGTAAGAAAAGACAAGCAGGATAATTTCAGAAAAACCTGGAAAGACTTCCAAGAACTGATGCAGAGTGAGGTAAATGGAACCAGAACGTCGTCCACTGTAACAGCAATATTGTTCGATGAAGAACTGGGAATGACTCAGCTCTTCTCAGCAACACAATGATCTAGGACAGTCCCAAAGGCCAAAGATGAAGCGTGCTATCTGCCTGCAGAGAAAGAACTGATATTGAGGGAATACAGACTGACACAGGCTAGTTTTGACTTTTTTTCTTTAATTTCTTTTCTTTTATTAGAGTCTTCTTGTACAAAATGACCAATATGGAAATGTTTTACATAATTGCACATGTATAAGCTATATCTGACTGCTTACCCTCTCAGGGAAGGGGGAGGGGAGGGACAGAAGGATGGAATTTGGAACTCAAAACTTTAAATAAAACTGTTTTAAAATTGGGGAAAATTGGTTGAAAAACAAAAAGAAATGATCTGTTCTTAGATCTGAAAGCAATTATTTGGGTGCTCTACCGTAGAATAACTCTGTTTTCTAAGAACATGAAAATTTTCCATTGAAGAGATTTTTTTCTCCTGTTACTTAATAACTGCGCTGTTCTCTTTACCGACAGTCTGATAGCAGGGGCGGTTATCAGCAGATAAACAAGCCTGATTCTGCAGTTTGGACCTTCCTTGCATTGGAAAAGAAGAAAAGAGCTAATTCAGCTAGAGAAGGCGAGGTTTGTTTTCTCTCTCTCTCTCTCTCCCTCTCTTAGATAACAGTGTCTTATTTCAAAGCCAGGCTTTAAGTGAGTTGTTGGTACCAAGTAAGGGAGGTCAACACTGGTAAGCCAGTGTAGGTGTGACGTTCCAAAGTTAACAATCACAAAATTCCCATTGTCTCTAAAGCCAGTTTTGACACAAGGTGGGAAAGCCAGGGATTGTGAAAGCAGACTGACCTAGAATTTGTAGGTCTGGAAGGACTCAGAAACATCGAGTTTATATCCCTCATTTTACAGGAAACTGAAGCCCAGACAGAAGTGACTTGTACAAGGCCATGTAACTAATCGTGGGTGGAGCCAGGTTCTGAACACAGCTCTTTGCCCTACACAATCAGCTGGTGTCTTCAAAGTGTTTTCTACCAACAGTCAAATCTTGAATTGAGCCCCTAGGACTGGGCATGGAGGCTGGTCAAGCATTCACTGGAAGGATAGAAGCCTTTGGTTATGAGAATCAAGGCCCTTGGAGGTACCTACAGAGCTTGTGTTTGCACCAAGGCCTCCATAGAGAGGGGTCTTCCAGCACCACCGGCCACTCTGGGACAGCCAGCAGCTGGAGGGGCGTTCCGGGGCTTGTCAAGCCTTGCTTTGTCTCTTTGCCTCTGCCCTCCCTACTCCCCCTGCACCCCAGCAGAGAAAAGCTAATCCCTCCCCACCATGACAGGCCTTCATACTCTCCCTGTGTGTGCAGAGAGCAGCCCAGGTTGCTAAATAGGCAGGAGCATCCATCCAGTGCACAAGAGGAGGGCTGAGAAATGGACCACAAAGAGAAGGGCATCGTGCAGTAAGCTGCGAGGAAGCCTGGTGGAGGCAGGCCCCAGGGCATCTGGCAGCCAAGCAGAGGCCAGTGTTTGCACTTTGCCCTGCTGGGTGCGAGTGTGGAGGATGTGGGGGAGCTGAGAAAATAAAGTCCCACTCTTGGCCTTGTTGTTCCCTTGGGAGAGCTGGGAGGGGCCCAGCCAAGCCCCCCCCCAGGCCCTTCCCCTAATCTTGGCATTTTGCTTGAATAATGGAAGCCTGGGGAGAGCAAACACCCTGATCCCGTTTGCTCAGCAGGCAGATGAGATCTGGGAAGGGTCAGTGTGGTCAGCGATAACAGAGCACCTAAGCGGAAAGCCCAGCTCACATGTCTGCAAGAATTTACTGGCTTCCAAAGGGCCGTCCCCCAGTAACCCTGGAAGGGCGCTGGCCAAAGCAGGGCTGCACCTTTTTTTCCAAGGGGGAAACTGAGGAAAGAGAGGGCTACAGGTCTTCAGCCCCCACATCTGGCGGAGCAGTTTCTCCTGGACCACCTGCCTCTCACAGGTGTGAACCAAAGACTTTCTGGGGAGGCAGAATGATTGTGTTGGCTTGGGAAGGGGCCCTAGCCCAGTGCCTGGCACAGATGAGCTGCTTTGGCGATGTTCTGGACTATTGGGCCAGGGAGGGCGTGCTGCTCTCGCTGACACTAAAGCCAGGGCTGGAGAGAGGCATTGGGCTCCATGGAGAGAATGGTGGGTTTGAAGGCAGGAGACAGGGCTTTGGGGCCTGGCCTGATTCCAGCACCAGCCAGCTAGGTGACCTTGGGGGAGTCACGGCCCCTCTTAAAGCTTCAGTTCCCTCATCCCTGAAGTGGGGATCCCTGTGCTCCCAGGACCACCTCACAGGTGCTGTGAAGTCCTGACTAAGTGGCAGGGGGGAGATGGCCAGAGGTCAGGGTTTTACAGGCCTCTTTTATCACCCAAGGATGTGTTCAGAGAACATTGGGATGGGGCTGGGGAAAACAAAAGTAACATGGCAGCAGATGGTCCCTAATTATCACTCCTGGCCCAGCACAAACAACCTTCCTTCTTGTCTCCTAATTCAAACGCTATCTTGGGGCTCCTGGAGCACCTGGGACTGCCCCTCCCTCCTCCAACAAGGCCCAGAAGCCTTGCTGTCTCCACAGACACCGGCCTCTTGGGTGGTCTCTGAGAAGAGGGGTTTCTCCTTGTGCCTCCTACATTGTCAGCCCATCTCCTGCTCTGAGGGATGCTGGCCAGAAATGAGGAGGTGTGGGGCCTCAGCATGAGCCTTCTTTCTCTGGGCTTCAGATCCCTCCTCTGTGAGATGAGGCATCTAAATTAGAGGATTTCTAAGGGCTCTTTTGGCTCCAAATCCTTTAAATCTCTTCCTCTCTATAAGCCTCAGTGTCCACATCTCTATAATGGGTGCAGTTCTCCTTACCAGGGCACCATCTCAGCTTTGGCCTCTATCTCTGATGCCAATCTCGCTCCACTCAGCCTGGAAAGCAAGTAATGAGAAACCTGTTACCTCCCGAGATGTCCCATTTCTCCAGCCAAGCAACTCCACTTGGAGAAGGTTCTTATCAGGAGGCAGATTTTCCTGATACTAAGCATAATCTGTCTCTCTTCACTTTGCAGGCATTGCTCCTAGCGTGGCTTTCTGTCATCAAGGCAAAGCAAAGGATGCAAACCCACCTTCCCCATGTAGCCCTTCATATACGGAAAGACGTATCTCTTGTCCTCCATTCCCTTCCTCTGGATAAATGTCCACCATTTCTTCAACTCTTCCTACTGTAGCATGGTGTTGAGGCCCTGCCCCATCCTGGCCCTCCAGACAGGTTCAAGCTTATAAGTGACCATCCTCAAATGTGCCCAGGGGCGCTCTTACCAGAGAAAGTCAGTGAGGGCTATTCTCTTCCCGTCTTGCCCAGGAGCATGCCACCTTGGGGCTGCCAATCACTGCTGACTTGTGTTGAAGCTATTAAAACTCTTAGGTCTTTTTTCAGACAATGCTTTCTGGGCACACCTCCCTCTCATGTCTTTTACTTGTGAATTTGAATTTTTGAACTCATCGGACTTTACATTTATCCCTGTCAAATTTCCTCTCCAGCATTCTAAATTTGTCAATCTTGGTCACTGAACAAGTTAGCCATTCTCCCTAGCTTTGTATGTGTTTCTGTTATGATGAGCATGCTATGAATGATTGCATCAAGACATTTACAAAAATGATCTAGACTACAGGGCTAAGACCAATTGTTCATCTCTAATTGCCCTTCAGACATCTTAAACTGGATGTCCAGTAAATGTCTTAAACTCAACATATCCAAAATGGAACTCATGATCTTTCCCCCAACCCCCCTTTCCTTCTACCTTCCTTATTACTGCTGAGGGCAACACCCTTGACTGTCAGGATCACCACCCAAGATTCATCCTAGACTCCTCACTGTCTCTCACCTCCCAGATCCAATATGATGCCAAGACCTGTCAATTTCACCTCTGCAGCATCCCTTGTCGATTTCACCTCTGCAGCATCCCTTGTCGATTTCACCTCTGCAGCATCCCTTGTCGATTTCACCTCTGCTGCATCTCTTGTCAATTTCACCTCTCCAGCATCTCCAATACACCCCCTTCTCTCTTCTGACCCTACCCCACCCTGGTACAGGCCCTCACACCTGAACTATTACAGTAGGAGATGGGGATCTCCCTGCCTCAGTCTCTTCCCACCCCAGTCCATCCTCCAGTCATTAAATGATTTTCCTACAGCACAAGTCTGACCATGTTGCCCCTACTCAACAAACTCCAGGGGCCCCCTATCACTCACAGGAGCAATTACAAAATGCTCTGTCTGGCAATCCAAGCCACTCTTAACCTGCTCCCTCCTGCCTTCCCAGTCTCCTTATGCCGGAGTCCCCCAAGTGACACAGGCTTTCTGGCTAATCCACAACAAGGCTCTCCATTTCTCTGTCCCCAGGCATTCTAACTGCCCTCCATCCCCCGCCCCAGGCCTGGAATACTCTCCCTCCTCTGCTCCAGCCTCTGACCTCTCTGGCTTCCTTTAATTCCCAACTAAACCCTCCCTTCTATAGGAAGCCTTCCTCATCCCCCCTCTTCATTCCAGTGCCTTCTGTCTGTTGATTATGTCCCCTTTATCCTGTACACACTTTGCTTCGTATGTATTTGTTTGCCTGTTTGAAGTTTTCCCCATCAGACTGTGAACCCCTTGAGGGCAGGGGCTGTTTTTTTGCCTTTCTCTGTATCCCCAGAGCTTAGGACAGTGCCTGCCACATAGTAGCTGCTTAATAAATATTTGACTGATAAATGCACACACATATGTGTGTATGTGTGTGTGTGTGTGTATATAGTGCATGTATATATGTATATACACACCAGTAGCCATTCCACGATAGATAAGTGGCCAAAGAATATAAACAAATGGTGCTTAATAAATATTGATTGATTGATACACACACACACACAGAGTCATTCCCTGATAGATAAGGGGCCAAAGGGTGTAAATAAGCTGTTCCCAAGAGAATTCTGAATTATTAAACAATCATATTAAAGAATCCTTTACATTATCATCATACTGAGAGAAATACAAATCAAAACAATTCTGAGGTTTCATCTGACACTCTGCAAATTAGCAGATGACAAAAGATGGGAACAGTTAATGTTAGAGGGGATGTGGAATGACAGGCACACTAATACACTGTTGGTGAAGCTGTGAAGAGGTACAACCATTTTGAAAAGCAATTTAGAATTATGCAAATAAAGTCATTACAATGTCCTGCTGAGGGCAACACCCTTGACTGTCAGGATCCCCACCCAAGATTCATCTTCGACTCCTCACTGTCTCTCACCTCCCAGATCCAATATGGTGCCAAGACCTGTCAATTTCACCTCTGCAGCATCTCCAATATACCCCCTTCTCTCTTCTGACCTTGCCCCACCCTGGTACAGGCCCTCACACCTGAACTATTACAGTAGGAGATGGGGATCTGCCTGCCTCAGTCTCTTCCCACCCCAGTCCATCCTCCAGTCCTAGACACTTCATTACTTGGCTTGTGCCCCAAGGAAAAAGAAGCAATTCCAAAAGACAACCCAGATCATTTAGATTACATGTAATCTAAAAGAGAAGAGGGAGGCATGGGGTGGTCTGGAGAGCTCCCTTCAAGTACAGGAAGGGCTGTCATGGGCGGGGTGGATTCTCTTCATCCTCTTTGGCCCCAGCGGGCAGAACCAGGAGGGAAAGGGAAAAGTGGCCAAGAGGCCAATTTATGCCTCTTATCAGGGAAACCTTCCTACCAATGAAAGCTGTGCAAGAGGGGAATGGGCAGCCCAAGCAAGGTCACTGTGGGACCCCTCTCCTTGGAGGTGTCCCAGTAGAAGTCAGATGACTACTTATGGAACATTGTGCAGTGGGAGCTCCTTGGGATTATGGGCTAGACCAGGTGGCTGCTCTCTGGTTCTGTGATTCCATGAATCTGCGACTCAGATGATCCTTCCCTTTGACCCCAAGGACTCTCTGCTACGCACCTACCCCAAGGAAGTTATTGATAAAAAGGAAGGCTCCATATACAACAAAATATTAATAGCAGCATGTTGGTGGTTGCAAAGAGCTGGGATCACAGCATCTGTCCTTGATCAGGGAGTGACTAAACATAGTACATTAGGTGGATGGGATAGAATTTAACAGCTGTAAGAAATGGTACGCATGATGGCTACAGCAAAGTATGGGAAGATCTCTGAGGACTGATGCAGGGGGAAAGTTGTCAGAGCCAAGAGAACGATGAGGACTGGCACAGCAACAGTGTAAAAGGAAAGAATGACAACCACAATAGAAGGAAGGCAGGAAGGGAATGTTTATTAGGTCCCTGCTTTGTGCCAAGCCCTGTGTTGGGCCTCTCAAATACAAACAGGACAGTCAGACTCACCCTGCCCTCAAGGAGCTCACATTCTAACGGGAAAGACCACGAACCCCTAGGGAAGTCTGACAGAAGGGACCTATGGTCTTTAGGGGGCCTCTTCTTTCATGTCATTCCCACTGATAAAATTCATTTCTGGTGCTGAGCCATTGGGCAGGGCCAAGGACTCTGGTGACCAGAACTTTCTTTTCTGGGTCCTCAGTAGCTATGGCTATAGTCCTGCAGGAACAGTCAGGCCCCAGGCTGCATTTCCCTGGGCTGGAAGCCCTGCCATTCCCAAAGGTCCTAGGTTGCACCTGTCAGGGTCTGAAGGGAGATGGTGGCTGAGGTGGTGGGGGTGGTTTGACTTGCCTGGCACTTGCTACCTCCTGTCTTTCCATCAGGATGCCCTGCTTGCTGCTCCAGGTAGGCTGGTTTGTCTGTCCTGTACATGGCATATGAAGGGGATGAGCAGCTCCTTCCTCTGCTGGAGTTACTTCCTTGGATGATGGCTATGAGAAACAGGATGACAGTGTGGGAGGTTCTGTCACTCCCAGGGCTCTGGCGACTAATATCAAAATTGAATGAGGCAAAACTATAGTATCCGAAGAAGAAATGTGAGGAGAGACCTTCCCCTACTTTTTGAGGAACACTGTATATAGTATTAGACTTTCTTGATATGGTGGTTAGTTTTGCAGAATTTTTTCTTCTTTCTTCCTCTTTTTACAATTCTGTATTATGAGGAATGGCCCTCTGGGACTGGATGTGAGGAGGTATACAGTGGAAAATGCAGGTGATATAAAAATGAGAGCTTAACTGAAAATTATATCAAAAGACCACACATTCTAGGATTTTGTCAGGCTCTACTCTCTTGCCTTATATGAAAATCTAAAAAGCTTTTACCCTCTTTCCCTCCTTCCTGTGGTTCCACCCTGATCTTCACAGTCTTTCTGAGATCTTTGACCACGGCTCAACAGTCATAGCACCAGGTCTTGAGAGATTCTGGACTATAGTCTCTGTATGAGCTTTCCTTGGGAACATGAACTTAGTAAGAGCAGAGAAGGACTCTTTTATTATCCTTTTACTTATCTTAGGTTTCAAATCTCTATTAATCATTTTTGTTCTGTCTTCTCAAGACCAAAGTTCCTTCTCTTTGTCAGAGAAAATACGAACAAAGTGAGTCACTTTGCTTTCTCTTCATCCTCATCATTCCATCCAACTTGGTGAATGGTGTTCATCTTTTTTTTCCACACTAAATAGTATTTTATTTTTTTCCAAGTACATGAAAAGATTGTTTTCAACATTCATTTTTACAAGATTTTGAGTTCCAAATTTTTTCTCCCTCTCTCCCTTCTTCCCTCTCCAAGACAGCAGGCAATCTGATGGAGGCTATACATGTACAATCATATTACACATATTTCCATATTAATCATGTTGTGAAAGAAGAATCAGAATAAAAGGAAAAAACCATGAGAAAGAAGAAAAAGAGAAAGCAAATAGTATGCTTCGATCTGCATTCAAACTCCATAGTTCTTTCTCTGGATGTGGACAGCATTTTCCACCGAGTCCCTTGGAATTGTCTTAGATCATTGCATTGCTGAGAAGAGCTAAGTCTATCAAAGCTAGTCATCGCACAATGTTGCTGTTACTGTGTACAATATTTTCCTGGTTCTGCTCACTTCACTTAGCATCAGTTCATGTAAGTCTTTCCAGGTTTTTCTGAAATCCTCCTGCTCATCATTTCTTATAGAACAATAATATTCTATTACATTCATGTACCACAACTTGATCAGTCATTCCCCAATTGATGGGCATCCCCTCAATTTCCAATTCTTGGCCACCATAAAAAAAAAAAAAAAAACTGGTATAAAGATTTTTGTACATGTGGGTCCTTTTCTCTTTTTTATAATATCTTTGGGATAAAGACCTAGTAATGGCATTGCTGGATCAAAGGGTATGAATAATTTTATAGTCCTTTGGACACAGTTCCAAATTGTTCTCCAGGATGGTTGGATCAATTCACAACTCCACCAACAATGCATTAGTGTCCCAATTTTCCCACATCTTCTCCATCATTTAATATTTTCCTTTTTTTGTCATACTAGCCAATCTGATAGGTCCAAGGTGGTACTTCAGAGTTGTTTTGATTTGTGTTTCTCTAATAAGTAGTGATTTAGAGCATTTTTTCATGTCACTATAGATGGCTTTAATTTCTTCATCTGAAAACTGCCTGTTCACATCCTTTGACCATTTATCAATTGAGAAATGACTTGTATTCTTTTTTTTTTGGTTTCGTTTTTTGGTGAGGCAGTCGGGGTTAAGTGACTTGCCCAGGGTCACACAGCTAGTAGGTGTCAAGTGTCCGAGGCTGGATTTGAACTCAGGTCCTACTGACTTCAAGGCCAGAGCTCTATCCACTGTGACACCTAGCTGCCCCAGTGATTTGTGTTCTTATAAATTTGACTCACTTCTCTATATATTTTAGAAATGAGGCCTTTACTAGAGACCCTGGCTATAAAAATTGTTTCCCAGCTTTCTGCTTCCCTTCTAATTTTGGTTGCATTGGCTTTGTTTGTGTAAAAACTTTTCAATTTAATGTAATCAAAATTATCCATTTTGCATTTCATAATGTTCTCTATCTCCTGTTTGGTCATAAATTCTTCCCTTCCCCATAGATCTGACGGGTAAACTATTCTTTGCTCTCCTAATTTCCTTATGGTATCACCCTTTATGTCCAGCTCATGTACCCATTTTAACCTTATCTTGGTACAGAGTGTGAGATGTTGGTTGATGTCTAGCTTCCATCTTATCCTCTCTTTGGTCCTCTTCTTTTCCCCAACACAACTCACAATGTCCTTTTTATGTGACAGTTTCAGCTCTATCTGACCTTTAGCCCTCCAGATACTATTCTTGCCAAAGTGGGGCACCTTTCAAATTCAACCCCCATTCCACACCCTTGTTTCCATTTTCTATGTTTGTTTTACAAGTCTGCTGTTAGATGAATTCCCTGTGTAGCTCCAGCTGTCTCTTTAATAACTTCTCATTTTCATATTCATTGAAATTATTTCTGTAAGAGGGGTCCTTAATGAGATTTCAGCAAAAGCCCTAGGTGGGCAGGAGCTAAAAATTTGTTCAGTTGTTTTCAGTCATGTGCAACTTTTTGTGACCCTATTTGGAGTTTTCTTGCAAATATCCTGGGGTGGTTTTCTATTTCCTTCTCCAGCTCATTTTAGGGATGAAGAAACTGAAGCAAACAGGGTTAAGTGACTTGCCCAGGGTCATGCAACTAGTACATGTCTGAGACTGAATTTGAACCCAGGAAGATGAGCTAAAAG